ACAAGGAAATAAGAATTTTTAAAATCATTGTGTAAAGAGACTACAAGACAGGTGTAGTGATGCATGCCTATAATCCTGGCTCTTGGGAGGCTGAGGCAGGAGGATGTCCTTGGGTTCAAGGTCAGCCTGGGCCACATAGTGAATTCCAAGCTAACCTGAAATGAACTACAGAGTCAGAAAAGGGGTCATCTAGCAAATGGGATCATCATGTGACTTCCTTCCCACCTCCCCTTCTGATTAGTCACCTCTTCTGGCCATCCTCTGAAAGATTCTATCAGGATAGAAATTACAGCCCAAACTCTGTTTCTAAGGGGAAACACAGAGTGTCCCGCTGATATTATTATCCTGGGCATGTTAGAGAGGTTAACTCATCTCATCTGAGGAACCCTTGAGCTGGCATTAAAAGCCACCCTGAGTCACTCCTACTTCAACTGCTTTCTCCCCCGTACTGCACCTGTGTCTCAGTCACACTAACCTTCCAGGACATACACACTCATCTCCTCCATTCATCTCTTTCTGAACACAGTCCCTACCCTGACCCCCTTCGGCTCCCCATGACCCCCTTCCACTCTCCCAAACTCCACCTGTCAAATCCTATCTGCCTGAAACCTCCCCAGGCCCGCACATTCTCTCCCTGTCTCTGAATTCCTGGAGACAGTTTCTCAATGCAGTCTCTTACAGGAATTTAACCTAACAGACCTGAATCACTCCTCTCAATTCTCCTTCCCTCCTCTCCCAGCCCTGGTTGCTCCACATAACAGACAGAGCTCAACATAGATACATTCGTTACTTGGAAAACAGGCGGGCCCTAGTTATGGTGTCTGCTGCATAGGGAACACTGTCTCTTGCTCTGTACCATTTATTTGTTGTCAAAAATTGTACCCAAATGATACAATATACAAGCTATTAAAATGACTATCACTTATGAAGCATTTCCTAGGTCAAGGACCTTATACAGTAGCATACGTCCCTTTAAGATTATCCCTTAATTGCTGGGTGGTGGTGGCGCACACCTTTAGTCCCAGCACTCGGGAGTCAGAGGCAGGCAGATCTCTGTGAGTTCCAGGAAAAGCACCAAAGCTACACAGAGAAACCTTGTCTCGAAAAACAAAAAAACAAAACAAAAAGAGTATCCCTTAAAGGATTGACTTTATATCTAAGACACCACAATGTCTTCATGCTATTGAAGATTTTTATTTTTAAAAAAAAATTTTAGAAGTATTTATTTTATTTTATGTACATGTGTATTTTTCTTGCATGTATGTATGTAAATCTGAAGAGGGTGTCTGCTTCCCTGCACCTGGAGTTACCAATGGTTGTGAGCCATTATGTGGGTGCTAGGAATTGAACTCACATCCTCTAAAAGAGCAGCAAGTGATCTTAACTGCTGAGCCATCTCTCCGTCCCCACAATGCGATGTATTAGATGGTTATGATAATTATCTGCTAGACTGTTGTTTGTTTTTTTTTTTATAGGAGAGAAGTCAAAGAAATCCACAGGCATGGTGGTACCTGCCTGTACCCCAGTGCTCAGCAGGCTGAGGCCAAGGACTATTCCTTGAGCCTACAAATTGAAGGCCAGCCTGCAAAACACAGCAAGAAAGTTCTTGAACACAGGTATACTCATTATCCTAGAGCATGTCTTCACACCCACTAGTGCTGGGATATGTGTAAATAAGTTTTCTAAAAGCAACTTCAAAGGAAGCGACATGGTAGGCTGTCTCAGTGCAAAACCACACGTCCTGTGACAGAAGAGAAAGTAGCCTGCCTCGGTGTGGAGAATTTTATCCCACTGGCTATAGGATAAAATTTCTATTTCTGGCCGGGCGGTGGTGGCGCACGCCTTTAATCCCAGCACTCGGGAGGCAGAGCCAGGCGGATCTCTGTGAGTTCGAGGCCAGCCTGGTCTACAGCGCAAGATCCAGGGAAGGCGCAAAGCTACACAGAGAAACCCTGTCTCGAAAAACCAAAAAAAAAAAAAATTTCTATTTCTGGGAAAGTGGACGTATCCAACAATAACCTTGACCTACCCCTGCCCGCACCTCTCAGGTACAGAGAATACTACACACGACCACACCGGGCTGGGGGTGAAATTTCATGGATGAATTCAAAAGCTCTGTCATGAGCATCTCTGAAGAAGCAAAACATCTCTGGGCACCTGGCTAGACAGACCCCAAGACGTGACAGTACGCTGGAATGAGAGATGCCTGATGGGAGACAGGAACAAAATGCTTTGTGAGTGAGAAGCTGGAAAATCACAGCGGAGGCCACATATCCACATTTCAGATCTCACTCTATAACTAAATCAGACGAACATGGAATTATAACGTGGCAGTTCTGCTACTTAAGTAGATGTGGCTGTGCCTGCTTCAGCAGGTTCCAGGGATTCGACCAGCTTCAGGTTGAAAATGTGAAGGGGGAAAAAAAGTGTGCCTCCTCTAAGTATATGTAGACTTTTCTCACCATTATCCCCTAAGCTGAACACCGTACCCACTATTACACAGCACGGTTGTTGTGTTAGGTGTGATAGGTCATTGAGATTATGTAAAGTTCACAGGAGGATGGAAACAGGGTCTATGCAAAGATGACACTGTTTTATTTTTTAAATTAAAAAATTTTTTTATTCATTTTACATACCAACCACAGATCCCCTTCTCATCCCTTCTCCCTCTCCCCCTCCTCTGCCTAACTCCCCCACCCACCCACTCCTCCTCCCCTCCTCCAAAAGGGTAAGTTCTCCCATGGTGGGGGGAGAGACAGCAAAGCCTGGTACATTCAGTTGAGGCAGAACCAAGCCCCTCCCCACTTTTATGGCACCTGCTCAGCTTTGGATTTTACAGCCACATGGACCTAGGCCGATGCCCTGGGGATGCGGGTAGCTCTTACATCAATCAACCCCCCAAAGAGGTGATTTTTAATCCCGTCATTGAATAAGTAGAGCCTTGCCTTCCAGGAGAGTCACCTTAGACAGACTCCCAGATGGGAATCCTCACACTGCTCCAGAGTGAGATTATCATCCTCATACAAAAGAGGAAGTGGCCAGGTGGTGGTGGCACACACCTTTAATCCCAGCACTCGGGAGGCAGAGGCAGGCGGATCTCTGTGAGTTGAGGCCCAGCCTGGTCTACAGAGCGAGATCCAGGAAAGGCGCAAAGCTACACAGAGAAACCCTGTCTCGAAAAACAAAACAAACAAATGAGGACGTGGAGCTTAGAAGTTAATGCACATACCAAAGCTCCCCAGCCCTTGTATGTTAGCCTGTCCCCAGGCCTGTGGGACTTGAGTGTGTTCTGAGTCACAGGCTGCAGGGAAGGCTCCCACCTGCCTGAATTGTTCTACCCCAGTCCCACCTCCCCCCAGGCCCCACCCTGCAATCCCAGTGAGGAAGCGCACACTTGCTTCAAAGTTAAACCCACACAAAGAAGCTGCTCCCCCAAGACCAGGCCCAGGTGGCTTCTGTGTTCTCCAGAAGCAAGCCCAGGGAGTTAATGTGGAAACAGGGCACCTGCGAGCTCCCCCGGACACCCTCTGACCCCTCACGGGGCCCTGCATTTCATACAGCCTATACCATACCAAGAGACAGAGAGGAACACACAACTGAGGGTGGTACACATGCTGCAATCCTACCATTCAGGACACTGGGGCAAATGGGCAGCTGCAAGTTCAAAGCCATCCTGGGCTACAAGGCAAGTTCCAGGTCAGCCTGGGCTACACAGTCAGACTTGGTCTCAAAAAGGAAGATGGGGGGGGGGGGGGACAGGTGATGGGAAGAGAGAGGGAAAGAGAGGAAGAAAGGGAAGAGAGAGGAAGAGATCCCACCATCCACTGGGTATATATCTCAAGCCCCGCTGTGGATGCACAAACCACGGATAGTGCCAACACTATGTTGTCTTTCCTAAACATGCACATATGTGATACCGTTCAGTTTATTAAGTGAGAGACTAATGGCAATAACTAATGCTAAAGAGTCACATAACACACTAGAAAGTGTTACAGGACTGTGCTGGCAGAGGCGGCGGCCTCGAGATAATGATATTTTTAGACTCTTATTGACCACAGGTAACTGAGACCGTGGTGAGTCGCGCTGCTGTATTCGAGAAAGAGAAGAGCTTAGAACAGTCCTCTGGTCTCCACCCCACCACACGTTTGGTAGAGAAAGTGGAGAACTCAGAGCCACAGAGACAAGGAACCAACCTCTCGGGACAGGGTCCACAACGGAAGACAAGTGGCCTCACTGGCTTCTCCACATTCTGTGTGTCCCCTTAGAGCAACACAAACACTGAGGAGTCGAGGAAATAGCCTTTGATTTTTAAGTAAATTCATTCCAAGCTTATAGTAGAAAGTGACGGGTGCACTTAGGAGCAGGGACTGGCGGCAGGGTGGGCACGTGAGCTGTGGGGACAGTGGCCTGGAAAGCTGCAGTCCCATCACCCAGATGCCAGACGCAGGCTGGAGCAACCACTGCCATTCTCCAGACAGATGGAAAACAGTGCCCCGTGAGAACTCTTTTTTTGTTTTTTTCTTTTAGTGAGATTATCTAAAATCCTAAATGCTAATGGAAGATTTTCTTTTAGGTGACTTCCTTCAACTTTCTACTTATTAGAGTGAAAAATGTGTCCATTTAAGAATGCAAAGCCAGATCTGGTGGTACTCACCTTTAAATTCAGCACTCCTATGACCGAACTCTGTATGTTCAAGGCTAGCCTGGTCTACAGAGCAAGCTCCGAGTGACAGCAAAATAAAATAGTGTTAGGAGTCCAGAAACCCTATTCTTCCTCAATATTCTGACAATTCTAAGACATCATCACCGTAGTTTGATGAGCATCTGAACGACGCATGTTTTGATGACCCTGTTTCCTGTCACACCGAACAAAATCCTGACCTTGAAGGTACAAAGTGTCTGCACCTTCCATGGTGGAATCTTGCCTGCCAGTGCTTCCAGAAAAAACTAGAAGACAACCTCTGGTCTCTTCCAACCTGAGAGCCTGGGCTTTGACTCACCTGAATGTGCATGGCGCCCTCTACTGCTTCCGCTAGGTTGCCGCAGCCGCTGATGAGAGACAGCTGCTGCTCAGCACTTAAGGAACCTTTCAGAGAACCGGACTGCTCCAGCAGCTTCATCTCCTTCCTGCAAAGAGGCGGAGAACGGTCACCATGGCAACCAAAAACAAATGCAAAGACAAAGCTGGACAGACCCAGTGCAAAGTCACAATGAGATACAGTGTCACACCTTTTAGATGATACTATCAAAAAGGAAGGAAGAGGAAGGAGGATGGGGAGGAGAGAGAGAGACAGAGAGACAGACAGAGAGAGACAGAGAGAGAGAGAGAGGGAGAGGGAGGTGTGATGGTGATGGTGAATGTGGAGAGACTCAAACCCTTCTGGGAAAATAGACAGTGCCGCAGCTATGTGGAGTTGTTTCAAAACCTTAAAAACTGAAGCACGTGATCCAGCTGTTTCTAACAACCAAAAGAATTGGAAACATTCTTTTTGGTGTCTGCGGGGGGAGAGGTTCGAATTTGTGCATGTGTTGGTGTATGGAGAGGCATTCACATACATGTATGCAATGTGTGCGGAGGCCAGGGGCCAGCTTTGGATTCCGCTCCTCAGGAGCCATTTATTGTTTTTGGAGACAGGGTCACTCACTGGGACCCGAGGCTCATGGATTCAGCGAGGCTGCCCGGCATCAAGCCCTAGGGATTCCAAGCATGCACCACCACGCCAGGATTTTCCCATGAGAACTGAACTCAGGTCCTCATGCTTTACACAGCAAATACTTTATAAACATCACTATCTTCTTGGGCCCCAGAATCCAACCTTAAGGAGGTTCTGCACAGTCGTGTTCACAGCAGCGCTGTGGAAGCAATGGAAGGCTCTGCTGATTAATAGAAAATCAAATGAAGCATGTACATACGATAGAGTATTACTCATCCTTAAGGAGGTGGACAGATGAGTAAAATGTGCTCTAGCCAAAAGGAGTACCATTCAACCTTTAAAAGGGAAGAAACTCTGGCACACACCGTGTGGCTGTTCTTAAAGACCTCATGCCAAGTGAAATCAGCCATTCACAAAAAGACAATCTCTGTGACAGGTCACACTTGGATACGGTACCAAGAGCAGTCAACTGGGAAAAGAAAGCAGGGGGCAGTTCCCAGGGCTGAGAGTGCGGGAGAATGAGGAGTTTGCGGTTAACGGTGCAGTGTCTGCTCTGGAGGATGGAGAGCCCGTGCCTCATGCACTGACTGCACTTGAAATGGTGAGATAACAGATGTTGTGACGTGTCTTTTGTCACATTTTGACATTTTTAATTGAGTTTTTTATCTTCAAAGTAAAGGGTGAAACTAACTCCACGGTGGGGTGTGGATATAACCGACGGTTCATTCTCATTCCCGGCTCAGTACCCCGGCATGGAAGAGTCCGTTGAAAGCATCGTCTTAGCCGGGTGTAGTGAACCTATGACCCCACCACTTGGAAAGCTGAGGCAGGGGGAACATGGGTGTATGAAACCAGACCACATCACTTAGTGAGACACCGCCAGCGTCATGCTGTGTAACCTGTGCCGTCACACTGGGCGCGCGCTGGGTGCGTGGGAAGCCCACGGTCTCGTTTGTCTCACAAACTACGTTGCCAGCACCGTTCACAATGCAGGACGCACTGAGCAGGCAGAACGGACACACAACCACACCCAGCTGCCCAGGCACCCCCTGTGCCCCCCAAAATACACTGCAGACCTTTACCAGCAATCAAATACCTTGTCATTCATTTCACATCATGGTTTTTACCTTCTGAAGAGCAAATACATCAAAGTGGTGCACGTTTTTAGAGTCCCACGTGATGTTCGATATGCGTACACGTTGTCTAAGGTCAAACCACAGCATATGTCCATCTCACGTTTTGCAACCACTCAAAAATCTCTTCTAGATTTTTGAAAAATATAGTGTATATAGCACGTGGGACACTTACTCCCCTCTCACTGCCCCTTGGTCCCCACTGCTCATCCTGCCCCTGCCCTTCCTCCCCCTCGTCACCAGACTCTGGTTAAGCACCATTCTACTCGCAACATGTGTGCAAGGTCACATGTGGCACCTCCTTCTGCGACCATGTTTATCTTTGATCCGCTGATGACCTTGAACCCAAAGCCAGCAGGAGCACACTGCAGGGGAGCTAGCCGGGTCTCTGAGAATGAGAGGGACACATGTCGCATGCGTATCTCAGGAAGAGGGTGGCAGACAAGAGCTAGCACAGGGTTCACACGTTCCCTGGGCTATCCCGAGGGAGCCTCTGGAAGTGGGCTCTCCATGTAAGATGCCGTCAGAAAGCGGTACATCTAAGGATCGGATTCCTTGACATCTCACATGTGGATGGCCAGACCTATGTCAAAGCTGTGTGGGCAAAGGGGCAACTGGCACTCCTTCCCACCAACAGAGGGGCACTGGGCATCTGTGGGACCCTCATTATCTTCAGGGCACCCTGTGACCTTGCTTGTCTGTAACTGGACACAGTTAGCCTTGCTCTATCTTGATCTGCCACACGAGCTGGACTGGTGGCCTTGAGTAGAGCACCATGGCACAGTTCTGAGTGCTAGATAGTCTCATGGCATGGGGGCTGGAAAAAAAAAAGTGTGCCAAGATATAAATAAACTTCCATATTATCTTTAACCAAAAGAATTGCCATGTGATGATGAATCTACTTTGTCAACTTGACAAGATTTAGAATCACCCAGTCGACACACCTCTGGGCAGGTCCATGACCATGTGTCTGGAAAAGTTTAACCGAGGAGGGAAAACCCAAATTTGGGCAGCGCCATCCCATGGGCTAGAGGGCCAGACTGAAGGAGAAAACAAGATGGCCGGAGGCATAATCTCTCCTCGCTTCCTGACTGGGACTCGTGTGGCCAAGTGTCTCACGCCCCTGCTGCCTACCTTCCATCATGGTGCACTGCATCTTTTCTTTTCAAGACAGGGTTCCTCTGTATATCCCTGGCTGTCCTGGAACTCGCTCTGTAGCCCAGGCTGACCTCAAACTCAGAGATCCACCTGCCTCCACGTGCTGGGATTACAGGAGTGCACCACTGCTGCCTGGCTATGTATCTTTTCTTAAACTGTAAGGCAAATAAACCCTTCCAGCTGATTGCTTTTTCAAGTATTTTATCAGAGTAACAAGAAAAAGATACACTAATACACTTCAGAAAACAACCGTGAGATTGCCATGGGCCAGACAGTATATGGGTCTCTTCTGGTGCAGGTAGAAAAGGGTACCAGTAGATTGTCACCAGACATGGGAATTGGACTTTTTTTTTTAATTCAGGGCCTCCCTGTTTGGTTTAGACTGGCCTTGAACTCATGATCCTCCTGCCTCAACCTCTTGAGTGCTAAAGATCACAGGCATATGCCACCACATCCAATTTTGGCCTCATTTTCTCCTCATTGTTTTCTTCTCTGTTTTAATGGTCTCAAAATCCTATGACAGATTTTCTTTGGGGGGGAGTCAAGCTGTTTCCATTAAAAAGTGCTTGTTTGTAACAGTACTCTAACTGGGGTAAATCAACACACTTGCCACCAATGAATAGTGTGCTGGTAATGGCTGCAATATACCTACTCTACCACTAGATGTCAGGCTAATGTTATGATGCAGAATAAAAACACTTGGATGCCAACCCTGGGGTGTGGGCCCAGCACTTGGAAGGTGAGGGTAGGAGAATCAGAAGTTAAGGATCTTCCTCAGATGCATAGCATAGCAAACTGCATAGCAAATTTGAGGCCTGTCTGGGGCACAATAGACTCTGTCTCAAAACATAAAAACTTAGAAGGGAAAAAGTATGCAAACAATTATCCCTATAAGGTAAAATAAGGGTGTTTTTTTTCTTTGAAACTGTAAAAACAAATTTTTTAATTTACATTTATTTACTCATTCATTTGGGGAGTTTGTGTGTGTGCCTGTGTGTCTGCGTGTGTACTAGCACATATGGATTTGTATGTACTTGTGAGAGCATATATGTGCCACAGCACATGTATGCCCCATCAGGTCATATACAGGTCAGAAGACAGCTTCCAGAAATGCCCTCCTTCCACCCTGAGGGTCCTGGGAATCAAACTCAGGCGGTCAGGCTCCTGCTCCTTTACCCACTCAGCCATTTCACTAGTCTCTTATTTCTATTTTAGATGTTGTATTAAAAATCAGCAACTAGAACCGGGTGGTGGTGGCACAAGCCTTTAATCCCTATACTCGGGAGGCAGAGGCAGGTGGATCTCTGTGCGTTCTAGGCCAGCCTGGGCTACAGAGTGAGTTCCAGGTCAGCCAGGGATACACAGAGAAATCTTGTCTCAAAAAAAAAACAAAACAAACAAAAAAAAAAACCAGAAGAAAAAATAATAAAAACAAAAACAACAACAACAACAAAAATCCAGCAACTAGGGACTAAGCCTAATGGCTCTTGCCTTTAATACCAGCCTTCAGAAGGCAGAGGTGGGCAGATCTCTGTGAGTCTAAGCCAGCCTGCTCTACAAGGTGACACTTTTCTCAAAAAACAAAAACAAAAACAAACAAAAAACCAGCCAAAAATACCTGTCTAAATGGTGAGGACAAAGGGGAACTGGAGCCCTGGCCCGCTGATCAGTAGGAACAGATGTGGTACAGTTGCAATGGACATGGCAATCCCTTGAAAATGAAAAGCAAGAGGCACACCAAACTTCCTCTGACAGCACAGTGCTTTTCAAAACCTTGAGAGCCTTCAACCAAAGACTATCTGGAGTTTGCCCAGGGCCTTCCCCGAGTAGTCACATCTGCTACCCAGCCAGCCAGCCAGCCAGCCAGCCAGCCAGCCAGCGGTCCTGAGAATCTGAAACCCTCTCTGTGAGGCATCTAAGCTTGAATGGACTGCAAAGAGACAGAAAAGAGCCTCCAGCTGTCCACAGGAAGCCCACAGGTCTGACTGGCAGGAGCGCCCCCTCCCCCCACCTTCTCTCCTCTCCTTTCTTGGGCTCTGAGGCTGGTGGCAACTCTGGAACTTGGAGGCCAGGAAAATAAAAAGAGAGGCCCAGTTAAGTCTTAGGACAATCAATTTTACCAAAATTTACAGTGTAGTATCAAGTGCCAGCCCACTCACGAAAGTGGCCCCGTGGCTTCCTG